CAATTCCTCCCTCCTTGTACACATTTTCCTTTGCATGGTGACTTTGCTGGTATTTCCAGCAAGAAAAAGAACTGATTTCATGTCCCCTTAGAATTTAAGGTGACCATGTATGACTTAGCAAAAAAAAAGTAGTTGATGTGACATTGTTCAAAATCCTCAAGAAAGCTTTTGAATGCTGCAGTTACTTTTTGAGGCATTGAGACCACCACGTAAAGAGCTCAGGTTAGGCTTCTTGAAATGATGGACTGTGTAAAGCGAGGGGCTTTGCCAACATCAACCATCACACACGAGTGAGGTCATCTCGGTCCATCTAGCTCATGATCTTGAGCTTGATTAACAGAAGAACCTGGAGCAAAGTGCTGAGTAACTGAAATGGTTAATTTTTTAAGCCTGGAAATTTTAGGGTAGTTTGTTATGCGGTGAGAGCAAACTGGGACAGTTACCTGTAATTTAAACAGAGTTCCAGTGATGAGAACAAATTTTTTAAAAAGCTCACTCCCAACAAGTGGATTCTGACTCCTTAGTGACCTAGAGGATGGACGGGTAGAAGTGCTCAAAACCTGAGCAAGCGCATCACGAGGCAAGAAAGGCCACAAAGGGCTATGGACTTGAGTTAAAGCTGGAGGAGTTGCTACTGATGGACTGAAAAAAATAACTTTCATCCCAGCGTAAACCTGGCATAGCTGTGTAACTTAGGGCAAATTAGTCTCTCAGCTTCCTCATCTCTGATTATGGGTGTGTAGATATTACCATATATACTCGGATAAGCTGAGTTTTTCAGCACATTTTTTATGCGGTTTTGTGGTAAAATTAGGTGTCTTGGCTGATATTCAGGTTGACTTATACTCAAGTATATACGGTATTTATCTCAGAGGGTCATTGTAAAGAATCTTACTTGTATCAAGTACAAACAAATCCTGCTTTGGCTACTACTGCTATAATGAAACCTTGAATGCTGAGCAATAAGTACTAGAAGCTACACTGTTGTTTTCAAGGCTGACAGAGGGTTAAAAGAGGGAAATGCTTATACCAATGGCAGAGGAGAGACAATTATGCTTTAAACTGCAGTTCCTTTTAAATGTTATTGTATTCAAATTGCTATTTAAAAATACATGTTGAAATCCTACTGCCTTAATAAGTGGCTGCTCAAACATGATTGTGAGGATGGCTGGGATTGGGCAGTGTTTCTTTCAGTTATATATAGGGTTGCTATGAGACAGCACCCAGCAACCACAACCTTGCTAATAAATACTACATTTCCATTTTGACTTCTTATTAGCTGTATATTGGGATGGTTTGTCTTCCAGGCTACTTTTATTGTATATAATTGTTTTCTCACTCTTATTGCATGCCCTGTGGTGTAGTGGGCTATACATTGAACAACTAACTACAAAGTCAGCAGTTTGAACACATTGGCTGCCTGGTAGGAAAACTATGAGGCTGTCTCTACTGTAAATATTTAATTGACTCTATTGTAGTGAGTTGTTAAGTATTGGAAAGAATGAATTGAGGTTCATCAGCATGAGACAAACATTTCAATGAAGTAATAAAATTTCATTGAAAAAATGAAGAAAGTTGATGTTTCAGAGCATTTTTGCAGCTCTTTGTAGACATCTGTAAAATCTCTTATTTAAAACACTAAAACTTATACAATGACTACTATTATTTGTTTCATGGGCCAAATAACCAGTAAAGACAACATGTTTAAATCATATTACTGCCACTTCAGAATAGCATATCTATAGTACAAGGCCAGTCATTTACAGAGTCTATAATATAGCCCCTAATATACTGAAACTACCCATAAGTGCCGTGTCACACGAAGAATATACACACATATATAATGTATCTAGGCATACGTGTGTCTTTATACATTTGCTCATATTTGACACAATGAGGTAATCATGATACTTTCTCCTATGGCATCACCAAGGACTTGGTGCTTTAAGGATTCTTACACTATAAAATAACAGCAGCGAAATATGCAGCTTCTAGTGTGCTTAGGAGGCCTGGTAAGCAGTGGTTACCAGTTGGGCTGCTGCCTACAAGGTCAGCAGTTCGAAAACCACTAGCCTCTCTGTAGGAGAAAGATGGTACGTTCTACTCCTGTAAAGAATTACAGTCTCCAAGACCCACATGAGTAGCACTACTTTGTCCTGTGGGGTTCCTATGAGTCAGCATTGCCGCAACGGCAGTGAGTTGTGTTTATTTTGTTCTGTTCTGTTTTTGTGTTTGTTTTCAGAGTGTGCAACCTTAGGCAAGTTATCTAACATCAGTTTCCTCATTTGAAACATGGACAATGGCAGTGCTTAATTGTTTGGGCTTTTGCAAAAATTAAGAAAGTTAGTCTTTATAAACTGCTAGTAACAGTGCCTGATACATAAAAGGCATTTGACAAATCTTAGCTATTACAATTGTTATTATATCTACTATTTTATTGGGTGTCTCTGATCTGTCCAAACTACTAAATCATAAATAAAATGTGTCTCTTGAAATATAATTTAATATATTATAATTTGGGTAAATAGACCAACCATTGCATACTTCTGACAAATTTGATCTCATACTTTAGAATATTTTAATGAATATATATATGACTTGATTAACTTTTCTGGATGTTAAAAAGGATGTTAGCAATTTAGGATATGTGATGACTCACAGGGCCAACACATTTAAGTGAAGTTTAAGACTTGAGTTAAAAATACCCAGTAAATGGAAAGGGTACAGTATCCACAGTCTTGTCTTCAAATACACCTGTTCTTTTAGAGAATTCACTGTCTGGGACTACAAATGACTGGATACTAAATGCCTTTCCCAGGCCTCCAACTTGGCAGGACATATTTTCACCATTTGAATTGGAATGTCTTTGGAGAGAGAGAAGGCCAAGGAAATAACTTCAGTCAGGAAGAATATAAAACTTTTATAATAACAAATTACAGAAGAGAGTAAAATTATGAACTGTTAAACTCATCATTCTGCTTGGGTAAGTCTATGTGTTTAGTGGACAGTAAAACTGAACACTATTACCCGATAAGCAGAAGCTAATGCACTAGCAGTTACATGGGGAAATCAAGATATTCTAATGAGGACCACTCTTTCAAATTTCCCGATCTCTTCTGATCCCTTGGGGTAATCTTTCAACCAAAACTTCCTTAGAGAATTCAATCCACTTCCCCTTTATGGTTGCTACTACCAACAGCTGTTTCTCTCATTACCTTGCTGTTCAAGCAGAAAAAGGCCAATCCCAGGTTGTTCTAATGATAGCAAACAGCCCATAAAGAAAGCTGCCAAATTTACTTTTCCACACGACATCATTTTTATGAGTCTGTGAAGAAAGAAATCATCATGCATAAAATATGACTTCCAGAAAGCTTAAAGATATTAAGACTGAGTTCGACAATGTTAGCCTCGTGGGTGCACCACAGTCTTTATGTTGGAGGCACCTTCAATTTCCCCAGTGGAACTCCACTAGGCTGCCCCTGTACTTGCCGGCCCACCGGAGAACAAGAGGGAGTCCAACAAAGTTAGGACATTACCAGAAGTATCTCAAACTCAAAAGAACTTTAGGCTTTCTGGCCTTCTGTAAGGTCACCTTCCTTTATCCAATTACACTGCGGGAGAATAAAATTTTAACGTAAACAATTGAGTCTAGAATGTGTGAACTCGGTGGGTAAGTTAATTAACCTTTTCTGTACCTCAGAGTCACACCTGTGAAGCAAGGATATTAATGCTTACATATTTCATAGAATTATGGTTAAATCAAATGAGTTACAATCTGTAAAGTAGCACATAGCCAAACAAAACTATTGTCATCAGCCAATTCAGACTCATAGGTTTTAAATCTTTCTCCAGTAGACAGCCTCATCTTTCTCTGGCAGAGTGATGCCTTCGTTCTCAACCTGTGGGTCGCGACCCACTTGGGGGGGTGAACAACCTTTTCACAAGGGTCACCAGATTCATAACAGTAGCAAAATTACAGTTATGGAGTAGCAATGAAAATAATGTTATGGTTGGGGGTCACCACAACATGAGGAACTGTATTAAAGGGTCACGGCACTAGGAAGGCTAAGAACCACTGTGTTAGAACAAATGACCTTGTGGTCAGCCACTGTGAGTAGCCCACTAAACCACCAGGGCTCCAGTAAATACTATAGAATTGTTTGCCTGAATTGTCAGGTTTTAAAGTGACAGACGATGATTGTGAAGCTTCTGAAAGCAGTGAGTGCTGTTTATTTCTACATTAAGGCGGAGTTTTCGCTTTAGAGGGGCTGATTTAAGGAGGAAGCTCTGTGAGTAAGAGAATGCATGCTTCTTTCTGGGACCATCCGTGCTCACTTCTACCTATGCTCCAATTTGTTAAGTCTCACGAGGCCCAAAGACAACCCAACTTGGGCCATTCTTGATTGGGAAACCAAGACTCAGATCGCACACGAGGCCACCCACCTTTCCCTCTCCATTTGAGCCTCCTCTCCAGTTTCAAAACTGGAAATAGGTCCAAAGAATTCTCTATTCCTAAAGCTACCTTAAAAGGGGCAGACACTGGGAAGAAATCTTTTCTGGAAGTTTAAATGCACTTACTGCAGAATCGATGTAGGACAAGGTCCTTGTGAGACCACAACTCTTTACAGGCGTTGAAAGCCCCGTCCTTCTCCAGCTGAGCGGCTGGGGCTTGGATATGGGGACCTTGCAGCCCCAGACCTTAACCACCAGGACTCCTCCAGGTACCTCCGAGGGTCCCCACCTCCTCCACTCATCCCAAGTCCCGCTTTCCCAGCGACCTGACCGGACAGAGGGGGTACATCCATCAGAATCTTAGCCCCAGAGCCTTCACGCACATGCCCTCGGCTCTGCCTCGGCCCCCGTGGGGCAAAACGCGCTGCCAGACCGGTTGCCTTTCCAAGAGCTGGGGGCCCGCCTCTTCGTGGCGGCTCGGCTCCGGCTTCGCACCCCCTGCTCCCGTCTCCGCACCTGCCCACGCCCTCCGCCGGCGGAGCACTCACCTGCAGCGGGGCTCGGCTAGCGTTGCCCGCGGCTGCGTCGCGCGGGTCGGCAGCCCCGGAGCCGCGCAGCACAGTGATGTGCAGCGTGAGCAGCAGCAATCCCAGGAGCAGCAGCAGCTCGGCCGCTAGGCGCATCATCCTCTTGAGACGC